TCGTTTAATAATCAAGCCACTAAATTGGGCTCGAGCTCGGCTGAAACCGAGCCGAGCCGAGCTCAAGCAGCTCGTGAAAAGCTCTTGTTGCCACCCCTAATTATAACAAAGTATTTAAATTATAAAAAAAGGTTATCAGCCTATGAATGGTTATCCTCATCAAACAGTTCAATGATTATACAATATGGATCAAAGGTCCATTGACCAAAATCAACTATATTTTACAAAATAATGGGCTAAGTGGTAATTGAACAAAAAATGTGACCAATATTCCATTGAAAGAGCTAAGCTCAATGATCTTTGGTAGGGAGGAGCCAAAATTTTTTCTACGGGGGCCAAAACCTAATTAAATGGATGGGAACAGGAGAATAAACATGGATGGGGCTTAGGGGAGCTAATCTGGATGGGGGTGGGGGAGAGGGGAAATTTACATGGAGAGGGATAGTATAAGTGGGGATTAGGGTTCCCTTGGGTCACCCTGGCTCCACCCTTGATCATTGGGGTTACTTTACCCATTTTGCTTATGTTAGAGCCTTTTCCCTCTTGTATCAAAAAAATGGGGTGGATTTGTTTTTTCTTGACCTAATGTTCATTACGGTTGCTTTACCCCTTGATCATTAGGGTGAATGCCTTTTCCCTCTTACACGGGTCCCAACTAGTTAGCTAACTAAAATGGAGTTGTGCTTTCTATCACTGTCATGAGCTTGTGTATTACTACCAAGGAGAAAGCAAATAATTAAAAAGTACATGAGCTGAGAAGGCTTGCACCCTCCCAAATTTCTAATTCTTAGCTATACTATCTAACAAAAAAAAAAAAGGTTTCCAATCATAAGATATAAAATATGAATTAAATTGGTTCCAAGCCCAAATAAAGGAGGAGGGTTGTATTAGGTTGGTAGCCGGTAAGGATTTAAGTATTGGTATAAGTATCGTATAAGATAATTTGGATATGGAATCGGATATAGATATGCTTTGGAAATGTATGGATATAAATGAAAAATATAGAAATGCTTAGGCATTCCACTAAAATGCATACAAATCACATAAAAACATTAATAACACTAAATCTAGAGTTGAATTATCTACAAATAAGGTATGAATACTTGAGAAATACACACTATAATAGGTTATATGAGGAGAAACATTACAATCAACAATATATATAAGGCCTCTAGAACATATACACATCATATAATAATTCACCCCAATGATCACCCATGCAGCAGCACTAGATTCATCCATGAGCGTAGTATCAGTATAAATAATAACATCCACGTCAGCAGGGACACATTTTGGATCATTTCTTCTACAAATGTGTTGAACTTCCACTTCCACATATGTTGATTGTTGTATAAAACTCCATTCCCCACAGTAACGATACACACTCTGAAGTACATCCATTGGCTGAGCCGAATACCCTTAGAAAATGCATTTGTTATGAGCGTCCCAAATCTTCCACAACATAGTAGTCGTAAGAATTAGATCAAACATCCACTCCTCATCAGGACCCCGTTAACCATTCACAAAATTCCGAATCCATTCAGCAATAGTTATATTGGAAAGTTGATGTGGTCTCCAAGATAAAGAAGACCCAAACCAAATATCTCTTGAAAATGAACAATCCCAAAATAAATGCTCTGGTGATTCAATGTGGTTACATCCAAAAGGGCATAACGCTTCACACCCAACACCAAAAAGTTTGTCTGTGTGTGCAGTCCTCCATGTAACATTTTCCATAAGAATAGTAGAATCCTTGGGTAAATCTTCAATTTCCAAAACTTCCTCCAAAATGCACTGTCTTGAGAATCAGTTGAAATGAAAAAAAAGATGTTTGTAGGCGGATTTAACAGAAAAAATACCCTTACGTTCTAACAACCACAACCAGCGATCATCACCACTTAATCTAATAGAGATAGGGACCTTAAGGATGTTTCAAATTGAAATTGGACCAAAAAATCTGTGAAGAAGATCCAATCTCCACTGTCGGTTAGAGTAGAAGATCACAAACTCTACAAATGCCATCCAAAACACTGGTAGGTGGGATCTGTAATTTGAAATTTGGTTGAGAGGGGACCCATGGATCAATCCATATACTTATAGAATGACCATTATCCACCCGACGCACATAGCCCACACAAAGTACATGTCTTGAGCGACAAATACCTTTCCACACCCAACAGTCATATGCCGTTTAGGATCACAATCCAAAAACTCTTCAAATGGAAAATGCTTTGACTTCAAAATTGAAACCCATATGGAACCCTGTTCAGTCAAGATTCTCCACCCAACCTTAGCTAACAAAGCATCATTGAAGTATTTCATTCGTCTCACACCTAAGCCACTTGCAACTTTCGGTAAAACGACGCATAACCTTCTCTGTCATCAAATGTTGGATAGAAATTGTTCGAATCAAAAGCACCCCAAATAAAACGATGCATAACCTTCTCTATGTCATCACATGTTGTTATGGGGAGTGAAAGTACTGACATCAAGTAAGTAGGAATAGCTATTACCACATGATTCACAAATGCAACCTGACATGTAAATGAGAGATTCTCTTCTCCACTTAGCTTCAACTTACAATGAGAAGATTCTCTTCAAGAAAAGTACACCTTCAACTTCAAATTCTCTAAGTCAAACACCAGATCCATAGGGGAAGCTTGCTTTCTTCCTTGAGAAGAATCCTTCCATTGTCTTTGTTTTTTCTGTACACAGTAGACTACATCCAGGGCACAGTAAGAATAAATCCAGGTGGGTATCTACCAATATTAGTTAAAACAACTTTTCAAGTTCTAGAAGGGATATTTTCATGGAAAAAGCAGTAGATGGGCTGGGTTTCCTACTGCTGAAATATTCCTTACGCGAGGAGAATGAGAATTTGAATTTATTTTGCCTCGTAAAGTTGAAAGGTTTCCTCCTTTTTTTCCCCTCTTGTTGGCTTAGAAGTTAGAACACAAAACCTCTAAAACTGGGTTTGGAGAATCTTGATTATGAACCACATACGGGTACACAAGATTGATTGGCTTCTCAACCTAAAGGCATCAGATATCAGATATCCTTTCCTGGAATAAAAAAATGGTATTCGGATTTGGATTTTGATTCAAGTGGGGAGGCTACTTGATCTGCTTCAGTTGTTTCATTATTCCTTGTCAAAGCAACGTGACGAGACAAGGATCTTCTGACCAGCCTCTCCAGTGCGGCATCTCTTCCTTTTGGCTACTAATAAGCATTATTTGGGGTGGAGAACATGAACTCATCTCCTTAAGTTTCAATCTTTCATGCACGGAGAATTAGATATCTCACTACGTACGTCTGACGCAGCTCAAGTTGCGGGAGTTTTGAATCTGTTGATGATTGTGGGAAGGCAATTTAATTAACCTTCTACTCTACAAAGTACTGATTAATTAATTACTTGATTTGACTCTTAGAAATAGCAAAAACACAGCATACTTTCGTGTTCTCTTTTTTTTTTTTCGAAAAACTCAGACCGACCATGGATGTGGATCTCACGTACCCAATGTATAGAAGAAATCTCGTGTTTGATTTGCTCACTGCAGCTGATTGAGGATTACAACTGAGGAGTGATTTGAGGATTATTAAATTTAAAAATTAATAAAAATAACAGGATATAGTTGAGACTAATATAAATATAAGAATACATACAAAATAACGCGGAACATGACAAGTCACAACCAAGAAACGAGATTCCCGATTACAGGGAATGGATCAGCATAGAAAACCCCTCACAACTGATTGTTTAGACATGGTTGAGGGTGACCCATAGAGCGTTAATTTTCAGTGACGAGATGGGCTACCAAATGGTCCATCCATTTAATTAATGTAATTTTGTTTTTCTTATTTTTATTTTTTTTTTCTGGTTTGAGTTGAGCATCAGTAAGTTTGGGTTATTGAAGCTAGATAAGAAGAAAAAGAGAAGCTGGCTGCAGTTCTAACCCACATGATCCATGAAAAATCCTGCATTCTGTCAACATATATAATTGCCGAGTCAATGGCCTGCATTTCCTGTATTACAACAAAAGTACATCTTCCCATGTGATCGATAATGGCTAGAAAAGGATAGCAAAACCGTTTGTGATTGATGAACTGGTCCGAATAGTTTGTTGGTCTAACCTTTTGACAAATCTCTCTCTCTCTCTCTCTCTGCCTGAACATGAAGAACCAGTAGTTAAAAAAGGGAATAGATAGTACTAGATTTTTAACAGATCGAAGAGTTCTTGTGATGAATATAAGAAGCGTTTGTGGAATGAACGAAATTGAAGTTGCGTTCTTGAAAGGTTTTTAAAGCTGCTAGGACCCCTGCTGGTAGCTACTTTTTTCAATTCGATCTGAACTAGAAAACTTTGGTGTCTTTTTTATTGAAAATTAATGTATTGAGCTTGAGAATGACTTGTCGTTCATCTTCCCAGAAAACCATCCTCGGTCTAATTTGAGTTGGGTGATGAATACCTGAGCTCTGTTAAAAGCCAGTCGGGTTATATATGATCCAGGACTTTTGTCTTTAAGACTATGCGAGCACATGCATGTCCAACAGCTAGAATTTTGCCTTTACTTTCAATCTCATGACTCTCAACTTAAAGCTACAGGCTTTTAATTCGACCAGTCGGAAAGCCCACTTGGTCAATGCAGTCTATAAGCCATCCTGTGATCCCTACTAGTACTAGCCGTAGAAACAAGTACCATGCATAGTGGTATCAAGATCCAACGGCAAAGCAAGCAATATCCTTATTGCTAACTTCACATGATCATCAATTAACACCAAAAGCTTGTTCATTTGATAAGTCATGCTCACGATAAAGGATCACAGTGTTATTGTAACGCGTGTGCAGGGGGGGCCTAAAGAATCAGTCCTTTTGTGTGTTTTATTACTTAACAATATAATAATATTAAAGGAGGGTTACTTTTTTTACTTTGTCCATTTTCTTCTACCTATGTGTCCATTAAAGCCACCCAACATGCTATAAATGGGGTGGTGGTGGCATCAAGTCATCAACCCATTTCATTTATTATTGGATATTGATGGTCAAGCTACACAAAAAGAACCTAAAATTTTCAACTTGCTGGGCAGTATTTGATTCTTCTTCTTCTTTTCTTCTTTTTTTTAATCCTTCTCTACCCCCTTCTCTCTTTATCTCACCCTCTCTCTTTCTCTCTCCCTCTTTCTTTTCTTTGCTTTTTATAGTGGATGAAAACACCTCTGTAAACAAGCAATCATAGACATGCAGAACCATTCTCTCACCTTTTATCCCTCTCACTTCAATGGTAGAGAGTCTGTGTTCCAACCATGTTAAAAAATATGAAGAGATAAAATTAGAAGTCATTTTCTGAAGTGTCTAGACCTTTCCCTAGAATTATTGGACCCCAACACTTTCCCACTCCTTAAATCTGGCACCTTCCATCACTCACTCTCCAAATGTCGTTTGATTGCCTCTGACATTAGAGATCCAAGAAAAGTTAAAAAGAAATGGTAGGTTCCTCTTCTTTCTATTGTTTCTCTTTCTCCTTATCCTTGGTTTTCTTCATCCAACCTTTTTGGGATTTTTGTTGCAGGAAGGACATCAGTTGGGCAGATGGGAAGGTTATGTAGATTGGAGAAACAGACCGGCCTTGAGAGGCCGCCATGGCGGTGTATTTGCTTCTTCCTTTGTCTTAGGTACATATATAGAACAAGATCATGAAACTTTAGTTTTTTTTTTTTTTCCTTCTTTTTTGGTTCAGAAAGTTCCATTTCTCTGCAGACTATCGTTACTTGGATAACATAGTTTTAGTTTGTGATGTAAAACATAATTTCAGTTGTAGAGATATTGGAGAACCTCGCGTACCTGGCCAACACAAGCAACCTTGTGCTCTATCTGTCCAAGTTTATGCATTTCTCACCATCTAAGTCTGCCAATACAGTGACCAATTTCATGGGGACATCCTTCCTTCTCGCTCTCCTTGGAGGATTCTTGTCAGATGCTTTCTTTACAACTTTCAGCATCTACCTGATAAGTGCAGTGATTGAGCTTATGGTAAGTTTGTGTGAGAAACTAACCATTATTTTCCTCTATCAGTTACTTATATTGATTATTTCAAAATTTTTTTTTTTGAGCAATTTAGATAACTAGTTTGGTTTCTAGATCTTGGTCCAATTAATTCTCTTACTGAACTCTCTCACTCATTTCCTCGTGATCTTCTAGAGGACCTTTAGTTTAATTTTGCAGTGCAATCGTCACATTGCCTCTTGCAGAAGAGGGCATGCAACGTGTCATGAAATGGTGTCTCCACGTGGGCTGATGAGGCACTTGTGGCATATATCACTACCTTGTATTTGAGGAATAAGTCCTTGTGACGTGGTCCAATGTACGCTGGGGTACTATAAATTTGGTCTGATGAAACAAACCCATCCATTCACAGGTGACAGGTGACAGGTGGCAGGTGGCCAGTGGGAACCTGGGGGCTGGGGGGGAGACTGGCCAATCTCTTTGTCTTGTTTATTTCTGGGCCATTTTCAGTCGATCCTAATTAAGTGTTTGCTAATGTCCAGAAGAAGAATCTGGAGCCAAATGGTAGTGTCTTCTGCTTCTCTTTATAGACTGTCCCCTATGGCCTATGGTGAAACTTAGCTTGATATATAGGATGAGTGTTTGACCGTGTGGATGATGGAGCAGGGATATGCATTCCAATTCCAGACATCTGATCTCCATAGATGAGGGGTGGTGCCAACTGCCAAGTAAATCAAAATCAAAGAGCTTTTAATTTGTTAAATGTATCAACAGATTAAAAACAGGCATGATAATTTAAGTGGCACCTGCACAAGGCTAATCAGTTTTGATGGTTGGAACAGGGCCTAGTGATACTCACGCTGCAAGCTCACTTGCCATCTCTCAGACCTGCAACATGTAACCCGGCCGACGATAACGTACACTGCCGAGAAGATGTCGGTGGCGGGAAAGCAGCCTTGTTGTTTGGAGGTCTCTATCTGGTAGCTCTAGGAGTTGGTGGAATAAAAGGGTCACTGCCAGCACACGGAGCTGAGCAATTCGATGAGACCACCCCACAGGGAAGAAAGCAGAGGTCTACCTTCTTCAACTACTTTGTGTTCTGCCTCTCCTGTGGTGCACTGATTGCGGTCACGTTGGTGGTTTGGGTCGAAGACAACAAAGGGTGGAAATGGGGACTTGGTATCTCCACCATGACCATATTTTTGTCCATCCCCATCTTCCTCGCTGGATCAACTACTTACAGGAACAAGATACCCACCGGAAGTCCACTTACAACCATATCCAAGGTATGAATTCAAACGCCTGCTGGTCCAAAATCAAGCAACTGTTTAGCTACCAGTGCACATACGCCACCTCTGCTTGTAGTAGGCCATGCATACAGTACGCCTTCTTATATTGTCGTTGTATCAAAATCAAACATAATTTCGTCGAACAGGTTGTGGTGGCAGCAATTTGCAACAACACATGCCTTAGTAAGAGCCCGAGTAATGCTGTTGCAAGCATGGCCACAAGCCCTTCCAACCCAGCCCAGAGCAGTTTGAAAGTAGAAGACGACAAGTCCAAAGAAAAGGCTGAGGTTCAAACACCAACCCAAGGCCTCATTTTCCTTAATAGAGCTGTCATGAACAAGCCTGCTCACCCAGCACTAGAATGTACTACGGTGGAAGTAGAAGAGGTCAAGATTGTTCTGAAGATCCTCCCCATCTTCGCTTGCACCATCATGCTCAACTGTTGTCTTGCCCAGCTCTCGACTTTCTCTGTTCAACAAGCAGCAACAATGAATACAAAACTCAATTCCCTGAAGATCCCTCCAGCCTCCCTCCCTGTCTTCCCTGTTCTCTTCATCATGATCCTTGCACCAGTCTACAACCATCTCATCATCCCATTTGCCAGGAAAGTGACCAAAACAGAGATGGGGATATCTCATCTGCAGCGGATCGGTATTGGGCTGGTTCTGTCCATTGTCGCCATGGCAGTAGCAGCTATGGTGGAGATAAAGCGGAAGAGGGTGGCTTCCGAAACTGGATTGCTCAACTCAAACAAACCATTACCTATCACTTTCTTTTGGGTGGCACTGCAGTACTTGTTCCTTGGGTCGGCTGACCTTTTCACCTTGGCTGGTCTTCTCGAATTCTTCTTCACGGAGGCACCATCCAGTATGAGATCTTTGGCCACAGCCCTCTCTTGGGCCTCATTGGCCATGGGATACTACCTTAGTTCAGTGCTTGTGTCAATAGTCAACCGCATCACAGGTGCCTACAGGCACGAACCATGGCTCTCCGGCAGCAATATAAATCATTACCACCTTGAACGGTTTTACTGGCTCATGTGTATATTAAGTGGATTGAATTTCTTCCACTATCTATTCTGGGCCAACCGATACAAATACAGAACCACAAGATTCAATCACTAAAATGAAGCTTGGAAGTTTTGCTTTTTTTCTTTTTTTAACAGGGAAATTTAAATATATCTGATGATTCATTGGTGTACATTTCCTGCCACCGGGAGATAAATAGTCTGTATTGGCTGATTGGTTCAAAACAGTTCATATGTTTTTGCGTTGACGCCCTTTTTTTGTACCAATTGATTTCTTAAGGCTGTGTTTGGTTGCACTGTAATTTCATTTGCATTAATACAAATGCATTGGAGTGCAAATGAAAAGAATGCAAATTCTGGTTTGGTTTGGGTTTTACTTTCTTCTGCTTCATGTCTTATTTTACCTCATTTATATTGCAATGAAACAAAATAAGGTAAAATTTGAAACACAAAATAAATCAAAATTTGCACCAAATGATTTGCATTACCTAATTTTGCATCAGTACAAATAACTTTGCATTGCAACCAAATGCAGCCTAAGGCTCAGTTTGGAAGGGGTACAAATACAAGGTTTTACTCTACATATTTGTATTTGTACCTCTTCCAAACTGGACCTAGAGCACTTATTGGATGGGATGTTTCCTTTTAAGCCAATCTTTGAATGGTCATTTACATCGCCTACAAACCTAGATCGTTTTAAGTTGTATACATTGGTTCCAAGATTTCCAATATCAGCGAAAAACACCAATTAGAGTAACATCCAGTGTCAATGAGAACACTAGAAGTTTGGTAGGACGGTATTCTTGGGCTTACTCTTCGGGATGTTTCCTTTTATCCACCTTGATATCAATGAAAGTTCTCTTTTTCAGCACACACAGAAATATTCAAAAGAAAACAATAAAGAAATATTGTATTCCTCAGTAAACTGGCATTGATCTGAATTGGGATCTGCTCCTCACAGAGCGCACCTCACAGATACCTCACAGGCACATCCCACTGTACATTGGGAACATCTTCCATGAATAATAACACAGAAGTATGGGAGATGTTCCCGATACATGGTCGGATGTGCCTGTGAGGAGCAGATCCGGACTCCATTGATCTATTTCCTACCATCCTTGGTTAAGAACTGCAGAAAGACTTCCATATAATGATGTAATGGAAAAATACAGGACTAGTATTTCAACTGAAAAAATGGTAAACTTGAGAAAATAACTTAACCTATATGGGGTCAGCTATACGAATTCTATTTTGTCATTCAACTCTCTCAAGGGCCATATCTTCAGTTAAAATTTCATTCCTCAGGTCTGTTCTTGCTACCTTGAACCACATCTTTTTGAGCTTCCCTTTAGCTCTTTTAGAACCCTTGACTTCCATCAAGTTACTCCATAGTCCTAACTGGTCCAGTTGGTGACCTTTTCAGCAAAAGTTCATAGCCAAGAAATCTGCAGCCAAAAGCATATGTTGATTAATAGCAAGAGTCAAACCAAACAGTGTCTGCAGAAACACAGAGAAAGTCTACAACAACCTCAAACTTGCAATGATCTTTTTGGGGCATAAGTTAACTTGCAATTATTCATAAACCATCAAAATCTTACCAAATGCACATTATCCCAGACTATTGGAATGGAACTGGAACCCCCTGCTTCCTGTTCACAATTGCCATCACCAAGTACCGTGTACCCATACCAATGGGTGTCTGCTCATCAGGTCCCTCCCAGAATGGAGCTTCTCCATCTCCAACCAAGCGCCAGTATCCTGTCCTCAGCAATTCTGCTTGTTCATCTGTGCAGCTTTGCAATAGTGCCTCAACTCGGAAGTTTATACCAAGTGAACCCAAAAACTGAGATTGAGTAATCGGGCCATGGATTGACACATCCTCTGCAAAAAAATGTTGAGCACTTGAGTGGTAAATATTAAAGCAACTGACCTATCAAAAGTATTCTTAAATCAGTTATGTTTTTTATGTTCTAAATGTTTTATAACTGCTACTACTAGGACAAAGCACCTGAAGCTTCTTCTGCAGAGTGCCTAATGGAAGCAAAATCAACATAAGCACTGAGATCAGCTGAGCCAGGATTGTCTAGTATATTCACAAACTTATGCTTCTGGATAGCCTGCATGAAAGCAGAAATTTTAAATAATGCTCGTTACAATCATGGCAATGACAGCAAACATTATGAGAAAGAAAGTTAAGATGCTCATTTCAGAATCACAATTTTAATAAAAACAAATCCTTTTTCTGTCAAGTAAGTTTTGTAGATGAAATTATTTTCCAAAATTTCCAAAACAACATTCAAAGGTAAAATCATTATTGAAATTTCATAATCTAAATTGATTTTCTATTCAACTTCAGATTGCAGACATTAAGATGCTAGCTGCAATTGAAGTTGAAAAAGCAGCATCGTGCATAAAGGACAACCACAATTGTTTCAAAACAATGACAATAGGAAATCTTTAGAAGAAACATTTACATAGTCATGGAGTAAAGTGTAATTTATAGAACAAAGAGATTTCCTTCTCCATAAAGCCAAGAGGTTGAGCAGGTTGCATTGCTTTAAGGATACTTGATACAACATTAGGTTTAAGATGACCATAACACCAGCCTAAATAAATGCTGATGTACAACTAGCACTTAACATTGCACTAGATGCCCTTTTGACTTTCTTTTTTTTTTTTTTGATGAGTAACTTAAAACAATTTTATTAAAGGAAAAAACACAAAGTACAAAAGGTGGGCATCCCAGAGGTTGAGATGGCATAATCATAGAATATGTACATTAAAGGGTACTCCCATCCCCTCAAAAAAGACTCCCTCTTTCCACCCACTGTTTTGACAACCCATCTGCCAAACCATTTGGCATTTGCAGACCAGGTAAACCCAGTGCACTGAGACCATTCTATTTCATTTAAGCTCTGGAGTCTCCCTCTATTATCACATTTTGATGCCCTTTCAATCGTTTCACTGACATGGATTTACACATTTCACTAAGTGGAATCAAGGGCAGATTAACTTATTTTTCTTCCAATCTATTAGGGCAGACAGAGTTGCTGGTGCTTCTGTCCAGTTAAACACTGCATCATAGCCTATGCAAAGTGCAAAAAATAAAAAATAAAAATAAAAAACAAAAAAACAGCAGGACCTGTCATAAGACTGCAGAAGCATATCAAACCAAGGTGCAATTTCACTGGAATTGGAGTTGATTTCTGGAAGAACTAACAAAGAAATGTCCCCATAACTGATCCCACAGTTGATCCTACAACTGTGGATGGGGAGATATCCTAATTTTGCAAGCCACCAAATGGCCTTCATATAAAACCCCTTTGGCCCAATTACCATAAAAGACAAAGAATCCATCATTAGAAGCCAATGATGATTTTCATATTAGATAAAAGAAAATACCACGCCTCATGCTTTAGTGCAGCAGGATTGATGATTAAGTCAAGCATCCAACAGGAAACATACAGAACTAAATAGCAGGAGTGGGACTGGAAAAGGAAAGGAGGGTAGCCTAGAATGGAAGAACCATAACATGGGAAGCAATTCTCAAGAACCTATAGTATGACTGCAACTTCACAATTCACTTCTCCCCTTCTTTTCTTAAAGAAACTTGGTGTATGTGTAACATGATCTATTCATGAACACAAATGATACTTAAGTGGTTGAGTTAAAGGTAGTGCAGGCATTCTAAAATAGGAGATGGGACAAAATAAACCATCCAAGGTACTGATTTTGGCTAACTGGTTACAAGTTAGGATTATATTTATGTTGTTTACCTTAGGAGTATTAGTTGGCCATCTGAAACATGCACTGCAGTCTAAAGTAGCCTCTTATCCATAAAGTATATCAACCCTAGTTTCTTGTTTGGATTGACAATCAACCTAGTTAAATACAACCTTTTCTGTCAAAAAAATTATCATAAATTATCACAAGCAACTTCCAGATCTTTCCATGAACAATTTTAATTTTATGCAATTTTAGGGAATGAGGATAATAACTCACCCTCACCCCTATTCCTTGGGTAACCAAATTGTAGATTGGGAGCTGGAGGGGAAAGTATGAATGCCAAATCATAGAAGTTCCCAGTACCTTAGCAATGTTCATGTATACAAAAGGCTATTACCCAATGTTGGTTCCAACTATGGTTCTAGCCTTTGGCTTTTTTGTTTCTTCTTCTTTTTGGCATAATGTGGCCACTCTCAGATAGCAACATTCATGGATGTTTATATGTATTTATAGATAAGTTCACATTTATATTAAAAACTTATAGGTATATATAGCATCATATAGCATTCATATAATGTTATTAAACTACCGGGTTAATTTACAATGCAATAACAAGGTTATTACATGTAACTATTGGAAACTAGCTGGTTAATTTAAATTCATTAAAAAGTAGAATCGAGGGGAAAAATATGATGAAAGATGCGAAGGTTGGGCAATTGTGTAAAGGCAAGATATGTTTCATTTCAGAAATCTTCTTGTATTTATTGCATTTGAGAATGGGGAATTTGTCCTCTATGGGAGAACCCCACAATGAGCAGTACTGTTGTAGACCAAGCTTTACCGGTAACTGCTGCTAATACTGACTTCCTCTTACCTGTTTTGCATTCAAACGAAAGGACTTTACCACTTCAAATTAAAATTTGTATTACTAGAAATTTGGGAATGCATTTTTGTTTTTAATTTCTCAAAATTGCAGTTTGAAGTAGATACATTACATTTTGGTCACCAGTTCTGGTTACTAAGGATACAAATACAAGATTCAAAAATAGTCAATATGAACAACCAACAGCATACTTGAAATGGTTCATCTTGTAGATGACACAGAAAACATGAAGAATCCATCACAAAATTATTGACGCTATAATTAACATAGAAAAGTAAAATACAGTTTCCAACCTGCAAACTATCAGAGACTATCCCATTCTGGCCATAATCAATTATAAGAGCCCCACCACCATCACAACTTATTCTCTTAGTAATCATCTGGGTCAACTCCATTGCCTTTGGGCAAATCTCAATGTGATCTAACTTGGCAGTTTCTTCTTTTGCATCCCACTTACACCGCTTCATCAAATACAGAGTTGTAGGTGTAGGTTGTGGAGATAGAACAAATCGAAACCTAATCATTTTAAATACAAGATTAGTATCAAGTTACTTTTTCCTTTGGACAAACTGTTAAGTATGTAAAGACTAGATTTTGAAACCCTTACGATGAATCTTCTGCAACATCAATCATTTTTTCACACCAGCCACGAGAAGTTCTCTATAGATAAATTATCAAAATCAGACAAGGGTGCATATAAAATAAATAAATGAAGGCAAAAGAAAGAAGGAAGAAGCGACAGACGGATTATTACTCGTATAACATCAGAAGAACCAAGACCTATAGGAAATCATCTTATTTATTGCCTTCTAAGTTGGAAAAACCTGTGTAATGAAGCCAGCAACCAATTTGTTTTTTTTTTTCCATTTTTCTCTTCCACAGAATGCAGGTTACAAATGCATCCATAAGTCATTTTTTTATCCAAAGAGGGAATTTTTATTGAGCCTCCAGGAGGTGGGATAGAAAAGTTTCCAAATATTATGTACCTAACTTATCCTACTACCAATATTTATGTTTTTCCCTTGTGAACATATGAGTAGGAATGGTTCTGCTGTTGCTCTTTGTTTTACACATGAAGGAATTCTACAATTATTAAAATGCCCTGGACTGTCCATGTAAAATAGAGCCAAAAGCCCTTTATGTAAAAGAAATAGTAGATATTTTTCCAATTCATTCACATAGGCTCAGCACCTTATTTTTTTAGTTCAGATTACAATATGCTCTGTGTTGAGAAGAAGAAAACATTTTATGAACCCAACCTCAAGTATGAATTGTATCAAAAAAACATAGAAAAGAATAGCCTCTGGAAAGTGAATTTCAACAGCAAATGCAGAAAGTAAGAGAAAACAAGAAAATAAAAAGAAGTTATTTTAGTTCAAACAGCTATCACAATGGATACGGTGGAGAAACTTGATAAATTAATAGGAAAAAAATCTAGAAATAATTTAGCTCAGGCATGATCATTTCTATAAGTGATGTACTGATGTCCTCAAGTAGTGCAAGGTTATATTCCAGGTATCCTGGAAAAACGGATAGACAAGTCAAATGACCACAAATCTCAGGCATAACATGTAAGTCGATAAGGTTTAAAACTCCAGTTCCAAACTAGGTTCCAACACTCTGTACCTGGATACAGAAAGGGAACAGATGGATATGGTATCAAATATGAAATTTACATAAAAAAATTAAAGCATCCAACAGAATGCAGCACCTTTGTACAAGTATCCAGGTATCGTAGCTCCCACCTAGACCAGAACCAAAACTATGACCATAACTTGGAATAAATTTAAATATTTCAGTCAGAACAAGGGGGATAAAAAAGGCTATTACCCAATGAAGGACTCAGCTACCTGGTCTTGAGAGGGGTAGAATGGCTACAGACCTTTGCATTTTTTTTTTTTTTTTTTTTTTTTTTTTGCACAAAGTGGCCATTCTCAGACTCAAATCAACATTCGCACGCTTGTCAGCCCAAAGTTTTACCATTACACCAACTGACTTCTTAAAGGGGTGATGTAGAACAATAAAATTTTTAATTGCCACCTTCTTAATTTCAAAATACAACAGTTGAGGTAAGGGTTTTCTTTTATTTCTGAAAATCAGAATACTTGACTAGGGTATCAGGTACAATCACCTCATGTTGCATAAGTATGCATTCAGCACAGTAAGACACATGGAACAGCCATGAGTGACAAAAGCTTATAGTAAACTACAAATTGAATAAAAACCTTCTTTTCTATTAGCATTAAACCATCCAAATGTCTGGTAACCAGAACTCCCAATAGGGATCCTTGGGTTTGTTTAGGAATCTTTTCAAATGTGTCAAAACCAAAAAATGATAGCAAGAGACTAATGCACAAAACAAACCTGGAATTGATGAATTGGCAGAGCATCATAAAATTCATGAGCGATGACAATGGTAGGCACTGGGAAAAGCAAAAAAGAAGAGAGAAAACATGAGATCAAACAAAGAAACAAATTAATCATCATATTTAATGCAATAAAAAGACAAATCTAAACAGAAGCAAAGTATAGGGGATATGATAAGGGAGAAAGCAAATATTCTTTAATAGATAAGTTTGTAGAAATTTAAAGTGGGGAAGAGATCCTCAATTACAAGTTTGTGGTGCATGTTTGTATTTATAAACTACACTTGATTGCACAAGTAAAAAGGTAAAGCAACTCCAAACAAAATCATAATATCTTCTTCAATTCCTTCAACATGGATGGCCAATAAATCTACAAGGTTGCATACATTATTGTAGACATCCTAAAAAAAATGGTGGAATTTCTTTCCTTCCAAACCCTTCAGAAGTTGGCAAAAGGAAGAAAAGATATAGATACAAGGAAAACCAACAGAACATATACAGTAAAGGAACAATAAAGAAATATGTCATAAATCGACTCTGTCTTCTCTCAATTTACAAACTTCACAATAAATACGTAAACCACTAAACATTTTACAGATCATCATTCACAAATTAGCTACCTCTAACAAAAGTAGTATCTCTCAGCTAAAACTTTTAATGCAACAAAGATTGTCTTCACATTACAACACCATGTATAACTGGCAAAATGGGCATTGGATGGATAACACGGAGTTAGTATACTTTGAAAGATCAGCAAGTGTTACATTCCAGGAGGATGAGCCTTTCATTTCTAGGAGAAGAAAAACAATTTTTGTTTCCATAATAAGAAGTACCAGCTAGTGTACCCTTCACTTGCATGATCATCATCAGCAACAAAAGTAATAAAACCTCTATACCAACTCAATCTGCCAGCTATGGAAGATTAGTTCCATCATTCCATTATCTAAGGTCATATAGTTTAGTATTAAAGCATCTATTGGAGACTTCAACATGTAGCAAACCAATCCTGATCTTCATTGTACATAGGCAACCCATCTCAATTGAAACTTAAAAGAGCCATTACCAAATAAAACAGAGTTACAAACAAGCCCAAAACAAAGCCTACCTATTGACTCCTTGCTTTGCCAAGGTGTCAGCCATTCCATTTGCTGATCTTCAAGTCCATCTATGTTCAACTTGCACCTCAAGCTCCCGTGCTACACTCAAAATCTCTCTTATGTTCTGTCTAAAGGGCCAAGATCCTAAGCTTCCTATTTTTAGCCAATCTGAGACCTTGGAGTAGAGCCAGCACTTCTGCCCTTAAGGAATACCTTACCCCAATTGAGCTAGAGTGAAGGCTTAGCACTCTTCCTTCTTCATTCCTAAAAACACCCCCAATTCCAAAAGGACCTAGGCTACCCATAGAGCTTCCATCAAAATTCAATTTAACCCTATAAGATAGAGGTGGGGACCAGCTTTCTTGAACAAAGGAAGAAGAGGGAGAGGAAGCCGCTATAGCACTCCACCCCCTAAAGATGTCATCTGAAGAAAAGTCCTTAAAAAGATCCAAACTTTCCAACCAATGTATGATCCTGATGGCTATGCCTTCAATGAGTTTTTCTTTGATTCTTTATTGCCCTTAGAAGATTCTACTGTTTCTTTCTTCCCAAATCAACCACAATATCGATGCTCTAGTTGTTCTCCACATCACCCTACCCCTCTTCTTCGGTTGTTGGAAGAAGCTAGAGTTGAAAAGGTTCACCACACTCAAGGGAGGAATCCACCTATAACCAAAGAGAGAGAAGAACTATTCCCAAATAAGAAGCAAAGGGACATGAGATTAATAGATGAGTCCCTGTCTCACCACTCAAACAAAGGCTACACCGCTACAGACATGTGGGGAGAGACACCAAAAAGGCCTTTTTCTTTGAAGCAGGTTTATAGTATTGGTTTTTTGGAGAACCACTTCCTAGCAGAAAGCCCTAACCTTTGATGGTATATGAACACAGCACATTTCTATAAAAGGAAAAGAAACATGCATATTAGCAAACTGAAGTAGGGCATTGAAAAACGAAGAGCAAGAGTAGAAACTTGTGGAGGACTCTAACCAAATTCTGCTATATGGGCAAGATTAATCTAAAAACACTGAATTCAGTAGAACTTTTTATGCCAAAGATTATCACAAGTATTCACTTTACCATTAGGAATGGAAACAGGGTGGGTTCCGACCCCAATCCCCGATGAGGATGGGTCCCCTCCCCAAAATTTTTTAGTTAACAGTATTTTTCGAAAAATAAATTTACTTAAAATAAATAATATTTAACATATATTATTTATAAATAATATAAAAATTTTGATATATATAATATAAATAATATCATATATATAATAACATATATTTAATATGAATAATATTTAATATATATATATAATCAGGGTCAGAGCAAGTCAAGGACCTCATTCCCCATCCTCGTCCTACCCCACCAAAGCAATCCCCATCCTCGACCCCATCAAGTCGAGGAAGTCGGGTACCTGTCAAGGATGGGGAAAATTGCCATCCCTATTTACCATTAGTTGCCTCCCAAATGAAGAAGGATATATGAGATATTGTGGAGAGCCAAATCCTTTTAATTGGGAAGGGAGGAGAAGAGGGTGTACAAACATTGACTCCAGCAAGTTGGTGGTCAAGCCTCTGAAGGCCCAAGGCAATGGCAATGGAGGTTTGTCAGTTGTAGAGAGATAAATTTTGAAGGAGAAATGATGGGATGGAGAGAGAAGAGAGGGGAGAGAGAGAGAGAGAGAGAAAAAAAAAATTTGAGTCTCTTAACGTATTTGGATCTTGGGTCAATGGTGTATTTGGGTCTTAGGCCCCTCATTTGGGTATGGGGCCCCTATTTTCTTTTAGTTGCCTCATTTATCATTATTCGAGAACATTCTTTCTTCTTTTCTTATTAATGAACTTCCTAGAACTTTAATAACTAGAACATATCAGCATAAGTGGCCAACTATTGAGCCACCAGTCAAGGTTTGGTCTACCATTCTTTAGTTGCCTCATTCTGGGTTGCCTTTTATAAATCCACAGTGTTATAGAGGGATTACCTATTAGTTTTTGAAAGAAAGAATTAGTTGTAAAGGAGCCATTTTGGTAGTGGTTTGTGGTGGATGTCAATGGGTCGGGTTCGACACGGGTTTGCCTTAACCTTAACCCGACCCTCCAACATCCCAACCCGGCTTAAAAATACATGATTCCTGAACCCAACCTGACCCTATAGGGTTTAACCCGATTCCGACCCAACTTGACCCGTATAATTTCAAATGTATTTTTTAACACATTTTGAAGACCTAAAATACATTAATTTAAGTAAGGAAATTGTTTTATAGATTCTAAGGTGTTATTTTTTTACATTAATCAAAATCAACATATAAATAAATTATAAACTTTAAGCTTATAAAGTTAGAAGTCAAAAAATTGCATGAATACTTGGTATATATGCAGGGTATCATGACCTAGCGGGGCGGGCCAGCCAAAAACCAAACCCAACTCAAGTCAAAGAATCAAAACCCTAATCCGACCCTAACCCAACCCTATAGGGTTGGGTCAAGCCGGGTTTACCATTTAACCCGACCCATTAACATCCCTATTTGTGGCTAAGAGCTTCCCCTTCCCAAACTACTTCTACAATATTTGCTTCTTATTAGCAAGGCCCATAGAGAGTTGTGATCTGTCTTGCGTCTCCAAAGCTACTTACCAAGGAGAGCCTGGCTCCTTTCTGAAATGTTTCCCAACCCCAGCCTTCCCTCCTTCTTGAATTCACACAGCATCCTCCAATTAACAAGATAATCTCTTTTCTCTCCTCCTCCCTCCCAAAGGAAGTCCTGCTAGAGCTTTTCAATCCAGTTTCTCACCTTGGCTGGACTCTTAAAAAATAGAAAGATAATAGGTGGGAAGGTTTGATAGGGTTGTGGGTTGCATTAAAGAGAGTAAGCCTTCCACCCTTAGAGATATATTTCCTCTTCCAAGTACCAATCCTTCCACCCTTATTCCTCTAGTTTCTGGTTCTTTGATCAGCAGTCAACTTGCTGTCATATCAAGATCTTGAATACATAAAATGAAAAACTATGTAACAGGAGCCACAGGACACAATTGTTAAATAAGGAATAAATTATCAAACCATAATAATTATGGCACCGAACAGAACAGAATGGAAGAACAGGATTCTTGTAGCTGACCCTATATAATTGAAACAAGGTTTAGATGATGATGGTGCTTGTAAATCAATTTATAAGAGAAATAAGAAGCTATAAATGCTATTTAGTGAATTAGTTCCAAAGAGATTTTGAGGGATGTGTTAAGGCAGAATTACAAGACAATTCAAGACTTTTAGTATTGTCGTATTACCCCATAGTTTTTCTATGGATTCTTAATACCCTCCAATTCCCATTATATTGTGTGGAAATTTTCACATTGCATCTTATCATTTATATATTATGTACTTTTTTATTGGCTTGAAAGTGAGGTACTTCTATGTGCAAGAAAAAATGTGCCTCGTGAAAACTGAATCCATACATCCTGATGGGACCTGCTCCAGTGTGGCATGCCAATATACAGGAACTCCTGCCAAGGTGCTAATTGTCCTTTGATCAACACTGCTGCCAGTATTATCTTCATCTGTACACTTCAAGGTGCTATATTGAAGTTTTTGTAGTGTGGGACTACATTCTACCAGGTGCAAATGCAATGACTTCGTAAACTTTTCAAACTTTGATGTACCCTACAAGAAAGATCTGCACCTCTTAAATTGATGCTTCAATTGTAAGCTTAAAATAGAAGAAGTAATTATAGTAGCATTATCAAAAATAAATACCCAATAGTAAGGAAAAGGCAGTGAACAGATCAAATTGATGGTGCCTTACACGAAGAAAATCAGCCAAGAGAGTTCCTCGTCCTGGACCAAGTTCAACTAGGTTGACTTTATCTGGTTGTCCCATTTGCTCCCACAGACACATAGCCCAAATACCAATCATCTAGTAATATCAGCAGGATAAAAAAAAAATCAGTTTTAACAGCAGTAGCAGTCAAGCGAATCGTGCAATTGGATGCAAGAGAACTTTCAATACATTGTGAATGCTTGGGTAAGCATTTCCCTTAATATGCTCATTCAGACAAATATATATATATATATATACACACACAGACAGAGAGAGAGAGAGATTGAACATAAGCAGTGCAGAGTAAAGTCAGTAATTACAGTACCTCTCCAAACATCTGGCTCACTTCAGGGGAGGTAATGAAATCACCTCCACTCCCAAAAACATCCCGGTTAATGTAAAATCCCGCTTTTGGGTTTGTCAATACCTCCTCCATATACTCAGCAACTGTGATCGGTCCCCCTCGAAACTACAAAACAGTAAACCAAAGAAATAAAATAAAACAAGATCAAGCTTCTTATCCAAAACGAAAATTTAAGCTCAAATTTCGGCGCAGTTTACTGTTTACACTAGTACTGTGCAGAGAACGAGTCCTCATTCGTTAAACAATGCATAAATAAGAAAGAAAAAAGAACCGAGAGAGAAACAGTGAGAGTGATAACCTTGATAATACTCTTTAGATGTTTAACGAGCTCGGAATCTGAAGAGGGTTCATGGGAATGCTCTGCAAGTAGGAATTAATAGAAAAATGAGAATGAAGGAGGGAACGGGATACCATTTTCATTTGATATCGAGTTCAATTAAAAGCTCTACAAGCTAAAAAAAATCAAGCAGAATAAAGTTATACCAGAAGGATTGAATAAGCCGGATCGATCAATTGAAATTGTGGCAGATGGTTGAAGAGTTTCAGTGGTTTGGTTTGGATTATCGAGATTCTGGTTGGAAGAAGATAGGCTTTCAATTATCCGGGTGTTGGACGAAGAAAATGCTCTGTGAAACAGCAAGGGGACTACCCCGTTAGCGAGACGAGGAGATGCTCGTACCAGCCTTCCCAACATTTTTCTGAAGTCTGAACCAGAACGACCTTCGAACACCCGAACGCTTATGGAATGTGATGAAAGGATTTGAAAAGCATTTACATGAAGATGGTTGAGGGAGATTCTTTCGCTGAGGTTTATGCAGAAGCTACTAAAAGCTTCCGGAGGCCATTCTATCGGCTGAAGGAAGCATTTGTTGTAGGCTGTCCAAATAGGGCAACACCAATAATCCCGTTTGGGAGGGCTTTCAGGTAAGCGGCTTCTGGCTTCATGAGGTGGGCTCTGCCTGTTTGAGGGGGCTGAGCAAAACATTCAGCAAAGTTGATTCAGCTGCTTTGAGGTGCTCCATCCTCCGGATAAGCTATGAGGCTGAAGCGGACGGGCCCAAAAGATGAGTGCTCATTTGGGAGGGCTTTCAGGATGTAATTTTTGGCGTTCCAAATTGAAAGTTGGGCTCCACACTAGGGAGTGCTTTAAAAGAATTAATTATTTGAATAAGTATTTATTTTGGGCTGGAATCACACCAATAAGCACTTTTTAGATTTTGGAAAATAAATCTAAAATAAGTGCTTATTTCAAAAGAAACATCTATTCAAGAAGCCCAAATTTCTACCTTTTAAGTAATTATTCAAAAATTTACTTCCAAAATAATCTCTGGTTTGGCTCTGTTTGGTGAAGGTTTCTTCTCCATTCTTCTTCTCTCAAACTCTACCAGCGCAGAACTACTCCAAGCTCCATCTAGGTCCTGCGTTCAGGTTGGTGAAGGTTTCTTCTCTTCTCGTTTTTTTTTTTCCCTTTCATTTTCTCATATTCAATTGATCAACCATTACATGCATCTAGCCATAATCTTTTTTTTTTTTTTTGTGAATACCATCTTATCTTTTTCATAAACGTTGAGGGTTTTCCAAGCTCGAATCAAGCTCTGTATCCAGCTAAAGTCATTATAGATGTGACATTCTTAAATTAAGGGTTAAAATTGTCATTTTAAATGAAAAATAAGTATTTATTAAAGAAAAAGACTATCAAACACCCAATATAAAATAAGAAAGTTGGGTGTCAAACACAAATAAGTATTTATTAGAATAAACATTTGTTTTTTAATACTTATTTTTCAAATAAATACTCCCAAACTTGGCATTTATTTTTTCTTCCAATTTTACATCTTCGCCCCACAATGACCCACAACACATTCCCACTGTATATTGGAAACATCTCCCAATAATAATACAAGACCTGGTGTCATCATCAGAAGATATTCCCAATACAAGGTGAGGATGCACTGTAGGACATTGTGAAACGCCCCGTCGTGGGGCACATCTGCTCTTTTCTTCTCGGATGTATCTATTTTCTAAAAGAAAGTTGGACCCCACATGAAAAGGTCAGAAGGTGTGGTTGGTGGAAATCCAGAAAGCCCAAATCGACGTTCTAACTTTTAAATGCTACTTCAGCAACTAAAATATAAAGATACTCTGAATAACTTACTCAAAACACAAATGCTGAATATGAGTGGCTTCTTTGTAGCAGTTTAATGTAAGGTCCCATTCATTTGTCCATAGGAGGGGTAAGTTGGTCAATTGATAAATTAATCATAACCCATATTCATTTGCCGCTACACATAATCTAAAATATAAAAAAGTATTAGTTACCCACGTGTGGATAACTTGTATGGCACAAAAACGTTGAAACATCAATTACATGGGCAACTTTTAACTCTACTCTACATATTTGCATTTGTATGTATTTACATTGTATATATTCGTATTTGTATTCCTTTTAAACTGAGTAAGAGTACAAATGCAAATATATATGGTACAAATACATATAAAATAATATAAAATATAAAATTTTATATTCTACATATTTATATTTATATTCCTTCCAAACTGAGCCTAAAGAACATTTGCTCAAATAAACATATTTATCTAACTAAATAATAACTAAATGGGCCAAAATACAAAAACCCTCTCAAATTGGGCCTGACTGATTGCAGTAGATTTTGGTTTTTACGGATTTTCACCCAATATAGCTTAAAAAATGTCTACATAGGGCCCACCTCAGAAAGTCAGAAGCTGCTATGCTCTAACCCAGTGTTTTCAAACTAGACCAAACCGGATGATCAGATTGGAAAAATCAGGAACCAGTCACCTAATCAGTTCCACTTCACCCAAAAACGCTATTTGGCCCAAACCATTGATTTGATCAGCAAACTGCCGACTCGGGTGCTGAACTATCGACTCGGACAACGGTTTGTAATCGTTTTTTAGTTTTTTAATTTTTTATTTTTTATCAGAACGAACCGTCCATTTGATCAAAACAGTCGGACCGTTCAACTTGAGAACCGGACCCTATAACAGCTCCTTGTCCGTTCCATTTTTAAAAACCTTGCTTCAAACCTACCAAATGGAGAATTGTTATAAACCCGAAGAAGCCCCAAATAAGTCTTTCAACCAAAAATAGGGTTATTGGCTGAAACTCTTTTAGTGTCTCCTTCAAAGCAACTGAATCAAAAGCTTCATCCTTCACAAAACAGGGTAAATGGTGGTGCACTAAGCTCCTTGAGAAGAAATATAGATAATTCTATATTGTTACAACAGGAAATGACATCGGCACATGTTATAATTTCCCAAGTCTTTTGATGTGGATACAAAAACAAGTTTGTGGAGATCGTGGGATTGTTTTCAATTAGCAGTAGCTTCCACCCTCCTCAACGGTTGCTGGGCTGTTTCAGTCAGTTTTATTTCTTTAGTCTTTCTCCTTGTGTTTTTTTTTTTTTCTTTTCTTTTCTTTTCTTTTGCTGCTGCTGCCTCTATTTTTTGGTTTCTTTGTTTCTTATAGTTGTTATTTCTTGTATTGAATCATTTCTCTTAAAAAAGTCGTATAAATTATTTCTGCTGATGTGATAATCGTTTTTGTTTTAAAAATAAAGAGCTAATTTGAGTTCAGCCCACTCCAGAATTCATAATGCAATCGTACAGTTCGGATCAGTGCCAAGGGGGGAAGGCTCTCAATTCAGGGGGATAAATATATTTGAGGAATTAATAAATAAATTCTGAGGTGGACTGAACTTAACAAAAAGGCCTAAAAACAAAAGACAACCATGTTGGGTCCCCAAAGATTTAGGATCAGATAAAAAGGAAAATAAAAAACACATGAAGATATATCTTGTGAGAGAATGAAAAGACAAAAAAAAAAATGTATTAACATTCAACTGGTGTGAAACGTTAAGATACTTGGTTTATTAGAATTTGCTTGTTTTTTAACACTAACACCTTATTTGGTTTGAAAGAAAAGGTAGGAAGCGTTATACAAATATACTCCGAATCTCCTGCCTATTAAAACTCTGGCTACGTCTACCCACAGCACACTATTTCATTGAATTGGGAACATTTTCTCCGTGTGTAACTGCAACGTTATGTGTAACTGCGACGTTATGTGGATAGACATGGACAGAGTTTGTGTGAACAGGATATCTAGACTCACACAAATATGTTGCCCACCCAAAGTTCATTGATACAAATCTGGTGCCCAAAGTTCGACAGAGTCTGTAGTTATGCCTCTACTTTTGGATGATCACGAATGACCATCTCAGCTATTGGTCACCGGCAATTAGATAATGGATCAGATTTCGGACTTTCAGTCACATTAACATCCCAAGTCTCAACTTATTATGGCATGCATAAAGGAGAGTTTTTTTTTTCTCTTTTATAATTAAAACAGAAAAATTATTTCCCTTGATTATGGTTAGGGTATCAGTTGTATTGGATTTGGTTCAATTAGATCCAGTCCAATGTGAGTTCATTACAAAAGGATTAGGTCCAATCCAATCTAAAGAATATTTTTGGACTGATTCAATTCAATGTCTGAATGTTCAAGATTAATTCTAATACAAACCTGATCCATTGACACCTATATTCTTATATTTTATTCATGGATCAGATATTGAGTCAATCTAACCAAATCCAATATAAATTCATCATAAATAGACTAGGTCCAATCTAATTCAATAAATAGTTTGGATCATTAAGTCTGGATTGATCCAATTCAATATGTCTCATTGATCCATCCAATCCATCCAAATTAATTTTGGTTTGTGGGGTCCAATCCAAACAAGCCATTAACACCTACATTTTAAAATTTTCTAAGACGTGAAAACCATAATTCCATAATACCTATTGTGAATACGGGGGATAGAGGGCTACTCTTGTAGAAATTGTTTGCGGCTGCGCTGGCCGAAATAAAGAAATATGTTAATTTTACCCAAACAGAAAAGCTCAACTGCTCGAGCTTGGTGTAACAGCATTTGTTACAGAATGTATCGATCCAAACTTCGGTCTACAAAGAAACGAAATGCATTGATTCGCGTATTCCGATGAGTCGATGACCCGACAAAAAGCCACCTAATCCGACTCTTGCAATCCATCCAATACGATCGACCCGACATAAAAACCCACCGCGCCCACACCAAGCACACCCGCAACCGCGGCCTGCACCGCGACCAGAGCCGCCGAATCATCGGGTAACAAAACGACTGCAGCTATCGCCGCGACAAAGAATAACAACGCCACCGATGCTAACGTCGCCGGAGAGAAGCTCGCCGCTTTCTCAATCAAGCTCAACAAGCCAAACTCCTCTGCCTTGGACAAAACCCCCAATCTCTCGATGGAAGACAGAGTAAACCCTAATTCCTCGGCCTTGGACAGCAATCCGGCCTTCTCCACGTTGCTCAGAACCTTCTTCTTCTCCAGCTTCTTGACTATGTCAACTTTCACTTCTTCGCTTCCTTCAGCAAATATCCCAGCCCCGTACCATTGTTTCTGCCAGTTCTCATCATATCTATTCACCTGCGATCAAAATAAAGAAACATGAACAGGTGCCAGGCTCAATAGTCAATACCTGCTGAAATAAAAAGTCTAGACAAAGAGAGACAATCTTTCTAGTACGCTAATACCTTTCTCTTGGGTGCCATAGCGACAATCTTTGCGATTTTTTGGGCGGAAGAAAAGCGAGGAATTCCAGGTCTGAAAGACGGGAGGCTGTGGTCGAACTTCCGGGAATAAGCAGCTGAAGCTGCTGGAAGTAGAGCCATTGAATTCGGAGATTCTCTGCTCAAATTTCTTAGAGGCGGTGGTTTCATCTGCCACATCGAACCTCGTGGTGTCGGGTGTGGTGGTCTCCTGTCTCCACCGCCGGAATTCGGAAGGGAATGACGGTTTACTCGATTTTAAAGGAGCGAGAGAGTGGGATCCACCATTTTCCTCTGGAGATTATTGGGATCATCTTTCCTGACGAAAAAACGCTCGTACATAGTCAACAGTCATAATCAATGATCATGATTTATTCATATTATTTGATCTTTATCGAAAAACCTGGAGGTTCCCACAGCCTAGTGAGCAGCGGTTGTGTTCAGTACACGTCGCATGATGCGTTGTGTTCAAGGCGCCTACGTAAAGATCGGCGTGTCCGAACTTGGCTTCAGTCAGTGCCCGTTCGAACTTCTAACAGCCTTTAAGGTCCTCATTGCGAATATCTTCCCATGAAATAATAGTTCGTTTGAGGATGGAACGAAAAAGAAATATATATATTTTTGGGAGAATGACCTATCAGCCCATGTCAGAATTTGTAGGTTAAAAGTACTGTTGGGGTAGGTGCCAGTTCGGAATTGATGCTAATTTATTGGGCGGGTGTTAGTAAGTGGGTTGTGGTCCTTTTTCATGTTTATAGTTATGCAGTGTAGATCAGAAATTTGTATTGGTCAAATTCGTATTTTTCTGTTTTTTTTTTTTTATTTTTACATTCAATGTTTGTTTCTCGAAAAATCGTATTGATGAGGGGTAATTTAGCCAAATTTGTTAGTATGCGGATATGTGGAATGACCTTATGACTGGATGATAATTCAGCATTTCTTGTCACCTCAATAGGCTAAGTCAACTTAGGTACCTTAGGCACCTTGGCCAACTTTTTCAGGATTACACCGCATGTCTGCGAGCCTTATCTTCATCCTGCCTGGATCAGATGGACTTGATAAGGCTTATCAACTCACACAAAGTCCATCCCTATGTGAGAAATAGGCTCCTAGTAATGCGGGTTGAGGATCTTGGATGTGTTTCGTGAGACCTACAGTAGCTTGCCTATATAAAGGCTTCAATCCCACCATTACAAGGTACACGCTATATTAGCTTTCTAGTTCTCTTGTTTACGAAGTTTTTCAATTCACACAACACTTTTCACTAACTTAAGCATCGGAGTACCCACACCAAGTAAGCCACCCTGGTCCTCTGATTCTATTCTCTTGCAGTTTGATAGTCCATTTAAGCAGACCAATATCTGAACTGTCGTCTAGCTAGGAGCGACTAAATCATGCACCATCAAGTATGATCAAAATTCATTTTCTTGTGTTTGTTTTCTAAGAAAATTTAACAGGAAACATATCAAACCAAGTTTTTCATCCTTTCTCACCTTCTATAATGGCATTGCATGGTTGACCACATGAATGTGTAAATTTGCCACGTGGCAACAATGAGGTGCATATAAGATATCACAATCACATTCTAAATCGGTGAAGTGTAAAAAAAAAAAAACAGGGTAGTGAAAGAAAATATTAGATCTGAGATCACCTGTTACTTGAAGTTGAAATCAAATGCTTTTTTTGTTTGTGACTACCTAAAATAACAAAAAACAACACAACATATCATATTCGAGTTCAACGGAAAAAAAAAAAGGTTTGAATAAAAAGATATATTACCATTTCGGAGAACAAAGTCTAGATCTAGAACAACCATATTCTAGAATCCAAATCTGGAGATCGTGTAAATAAACTCAAATGACTATCCGATTAGAAGTTAGATTTGGTTCTATTATGCCAGATCTAAGCCTACCTTTGCCGAGAACACTTGAGATCTGGATGACCAAGGATGAATGGAATCGACAGTGAGATTTCGATGGCCACCCATCAAATGGAACAGGAGAAAAACGGTATCAAAAAGAACGGGAATGAAGAGAGAGTGTCAGAACTACACTTACCGTTTGACAAGAACTTTGGAGATAATGCCGGAGATGTGACCGTTGAACGAAAAAAAGGGAGGCGACGATGCCTGTGAGAGGGCTCTCGACAAAATTTTCTCATATTTTCTTCCTTTCTCAGCGAATTTTCACTAAATTAGTGCGACCCCATTTACCGATTTTTGAGAACCCACATCCTTAGTATTTCCTTTTCTTTATCAGATTTTCATTTGAAACAAATGCACTGAGAAAAAGAATATTCTTAAATATACTTCTTTTCCTGTCCGTTTCTCGGAAACCAAATGCCCCATGAGGTGCATGGGTACGGAGAGCGCAAGGTTGAATCGAACGGGCCTTGCACCGAATGTAGCCGAGCTCGTCGTGTATGTAAGCGGTGTCTCTGCTGAGGATAAAATGCGCCTGGTGGTGCACCATCCGTAGGAAAACATCATTTTGCATGTAAACAAACAGTGTAAAACAGCATTTTCTGAGAATCGCTCATTTCAGTAATCTGTATTGTGAACCACTGATTTATCAAGATGGCCGATGGTAAACCAGCATTGCAGCTTGTATTGCATGAAGATTATTAAGCAAAACTGTAAAAGCAGAGACAATAAACAAGGAAAAGTCTTCGAGCTTGGCAACAAGCCCAGTCAGTCAAGATGCCGATGTTCGATTAAACTTTGGCTTAGGAAAATCAAGGTGCTCAAACATTAATTGTTTGATGCCAACCTACTGTTAGAGACCAAAAAACTTATTCAGCGGCTTCATCTAACAGATTTAAGCTTTTAGGTTGAATGTTTTCGAACATGGTATTTGACTAAATGATTTAATGTTCGATCCTCATGGATAGCGTGTAATCAATCCAGTTGAGTACAAAGTTTTAGGTGGCTCGAGCTTGAGCTTAACTTAAAACTCCGAGTTTGAAACTTGATTCGAACATGATTGAGTTTTGAGTTTCATATTGGAACTGAACTCGAGTCTTGCAAGCTATTCTAACTCAACTAAGTTCAATTTTATTATAAATAAATTGCTATTAGAAGAATAAAAAATAATATTTAAAATATTATAAAGTAAAAAATATATTAAAAAACTTAATAAATATTAAAATTATAAATAAATCAGAAATATTGTAAACAAAATATATTATGAAACTTTATTATACATATATATATATTATGAATAAATTAATATTTATTTATATTATAAATAAAAATATATTGAAAATAATATTTTATTATTAGCTCAATAAGGCTCGCAAGCTATTCGAACTTGGTATTATGAAGCTTGAATTTTGCTCAACTAACCACTCAAATCAAGTTAGGCTCGACCAAGGGTGGAGCCGCAGAGCCAAGGGGGAATCAGGGGAGCCATAATGCCCCCCCCCCCCATGGTCCAAAAATCCCTATTTTCCCATTTATACAAGTAACCTCTAGCACACTTGGAAAGAAAGCTTATCCCAAATTCCAAATTAATGATCAACTATCTTTGAAATTTGGGATTCCACGGTCACGGAAACTGGCCCAAGTGTGATATCCAAATAGAAAAAAAGTAAAAAAAAAAAAAAGAAGAATTAGAATTGTTTCAACTTTTTCATTGAAACATTCTCAGTATATTATGCATTATACGAGTTTAATGATGCCGGTCAGCCATGATGAGATGAGAATACAAATCCAAACGACTTGAACTACATAGAGAAAAGAGAAGCATGAAGCATTCTTATGTCTTAGAAGTGCCGGCGCCCATCCATAAGCTCCTTACTGCCACCTTGACTGCACCCACAGCACCCAGCTGCCTCATCTCTGGGCTCAACCCTTTGCCTCCCTCGTTCTTACCACCTTCTTCTATCTGAACCCCAACATAAAACGCTATCTGCATCTCCAAAGAACATAAACAAGAGAGATGAGTGAGAAGAAACGTAATCAGTTAAGCATTGATTTTGATTATACTAGCTACATGTACTCAGCATGTTTGATTTTGAAAACAATCTTGAAAATATGCTCTAAAAGGAAACAAAATGTTATTCCCTCCTATTATGAATTGCAACCAAATCATTTAGAATTCACCCATGACAGACCCTGGGTCTGCTAAAACAAAACTTTCACAACAGGCAACACAATCCAATCACAAGTAAACATATCAGTTGCTGGTATATCTGGTAATTATACAAATAGCTGATGTGTGTTAAATGGGGCTATGTGTAGCCCATTTTACATGCCTTGTTTGTTACAGATCCCATGCTCCCATGGGAACGGAATTTATAGGTGATATATGTCTGCCTGTTTGTACTCCCATCTCTTTCTAAAATTTATGCTCCTTTTTTATAGGTGAGCAACATACATTATTTATGCATTTTTTCCAGTCCATGTAATAAACACAGGGAAGTCCATTTTCAAGAAGCATATTCCAGCAAAATTTTACATAATAAGAAAGCTGACCTAAACAGTTTATATATCAAATAAAGAACTCAGCTTGAAATACCTAAATTCCATATTAATTATGGAATGTGGGGGGAAGAAATAGATCCTTCCATCTTAGTTGAAAAACACCTAACACCTAATCTGTACAACACAGACAAGTAAAGCAAATAAGACCAGAAGTTCTATATGTACATCAACTACACATACCAAATGGAATGAAATCCTTGTTATTAATTCAGAATCTGTAACATAAATCCAATAGTCCATCAAGCTGCACTAGGTTTTCTGAGTAAACTAAGTTTACTTCAATGGATTATATCACCTTCACCTAGGTTTCAATCTTTACCTAGTAAATGTTTTTAATTTCTATTGCTTTTAGAATCCAGGATAAAGTTTCATATAATATGTGCAGATATGGCATGTTACATCTTGCAGAATTAATGAGGAATAAATGGAGAACTCAATAAGGAGATTAGAAAAACAATCTAGATACAGCCAATTTGTGTCATTACCTTGCCAGTAGCATTCCGAACAGGTGAAATGTGAAGAAGATTCCAGAATGAGCTCCTGTCTTTCCTGAAATTTTAAGTATCATAAAACAATTAACAAAAAAAGTACCATAAAGCAATCAGGAAAAGTGGTTGTTGAAAGTTTAGATATTGAAGTTTTAAATCTTTTGCTTTTAAACATAATAGAGAAAGTGATCAAGTATGAACCTGTAATTTAAGATACGCACACTACAGGCTTGCTCAGATTGAATGGCTTTCTTTATCTGGAAAACAATTTATAGAAGATTAGATAACCTAATTGAAATAAATCTGTCTAACAACTTTTAAGTCAAAAAATATACAGAATAAAATCTCAAGAAAACTGTCAACAACGTCATACTTCTACCTGGCATATAGTCTTTGGATCTGTATCAGGTCCACTTAAAAATCTACAGTTTTGTCCCAATACCTCATGTCTAGCATAGCCTGTTACAAGAAATAAATAAATGAACAAATAGTCCTCATAACTTTCATTACAATTATAACCAATTGGGTAGTCCTGACATCTAACGGAATCAATTTCAGTCTAAGAGAACTGCTAGGTGGGAAATCAAAATTTAAGTCTTGGTCACACATGAAAGTGTAGAGAAGGAAAGTGTAAAGACATCTTGACCTAGGTATCAGCCATAAGACAATTAGTGCATTGAATAAAGGAAGAAAGTGATAGTATTGTAAAAATGTTCTCTAATGTAGACAAACATGAACTGGATAATAACAAAACATATATAAAAATTATTCTAGATTTAGGTACCTGTCAAATTCAAAAAGGCATCACTAGCATAGACAATGGGCATGTCAGGTAAGTGGGGATTGGTTCTGCAAGGCATTACCAATTGTTGTGAGAAAAGCAGATAAAAGGCCTAAAATAATATCTCCAAAACAGTACAGTACATATGGTAAAGCAACAGAAAAAAGGAAACTTTGTAACAACTCACAATACAAAGCTCTGTTTGATTCTACCAAGAGATATATTTAAGGATGAACTGAGAGGGACCATCCCAGATGAGTTGCATCGTTTCCCACTGACCAATCTGCCTGTTAGCTCACTATAGTGAGTAAGCACAGACAATATGTTATTGATTGCTGTTGCAGCTTTCCGTTTCTCCAGATCACTTGCTTCACATAACTCTTCAGCTTCTAATCCTGTAAGTATCATCCACACAAGAATACAAGTGCAGGACATGAATTTTAGTTAACTTACCAGAGTACTAAAAACAGTAAAATATCAATGCATTGAAGAAATTTATGATTTGGAAGAAAAGGAAAAACTTGAAAAAGGAAAGAAGTAATGTAAACTAACTTATCAAGCATCAAAGATCAAAGGAGACAATAAAAATATTGCGGTAGGTCAATAAAATTCATAGAAAGAAATTATCTAAGCATGAAATATAAGAGTAGTTGATATAATATCATATGACATAAAGGGGAAACGAAGAAATATTTTACTCCCCACTTGCAAATTAGATTAACCAAACAAAAGAAAACACTAACAAAAAAAATTGCAAATAGATTACAACATGTTGATCCAAAAAGAAATCTCTAACAAAGTAAAAATTCAAGCAACAAACCACATGAATTACCAATCAAAAGAGAACTACTTGTGATCACATAATAAAATATACAAATAAAATGCAGAAACATTAAAGTTCTAATTGTGAACCACCATAAAACAAACTCGACTAACAGGGGGAATACCTTCAAAAAATACAATCCAATTCAAATCCATAAAAAAAGACCCACCAAAAGAATATCTCTGAAAATAACAATTGAAGCAACAAACCACCACATAAATTACCAATTGAAAAAATCGTAATCCATGGTCAGACCAATACAGTTCAGCAGAAGCCTACTTGTGGAATCAGGACCACTGGCAGAGCAACTCAACTGCACATACTAACTATACACTAGTAACAGTAAAAGCTAAAAATATTATATATATATAGATATATATATATATATATATATATATATCAAAATGGGGTCAGAACTAATAATTAATAAATAAACCGGGGGGGGGGGATTACTAATAAGGAAAAGTTCAAACATGGAGAAGGAGTGCCATTCAACAATCAAGTTTTAGACAGGCTAACATTGCAAACCAAAACACAGACCTCTGTTATCAGAGTCGACGAATGAATCCAATGTCCGACAACGACCCATTTCCGCCACAGAATCCGTGCATACCTCCCTCCGACAAGACCCGAATACAATCTCGAGGATTCTAGACCCATCCTCCCCCAAATTATTGCAATTCCTCCCAAAACCCCTCGGTCTCCTTGATATCGGCAACCGAACCGCAACGAAATGAACCACCCTGCCATCATCCTTACTGAAAACAGGACTCATATGAAACAACATCCAGAACGGTGTTCCATCTTTTCGATAATTCAACAAACTGATCTGTATAGTCCTCTCCTCCCGAATTGCCTCTCTAATCTCCATAACCGATCTCCGATTGGTAGCCGGCCCTTGAAACATTCTGCCATTCTTCCCGATCACCTCATCTTTCGAGTACCCAGACATTTTCAAGAAACCCCGGCTGGCGAAGACGATCGGGTGGCCAGAAATACAAGGATCAGTGACAGTAAAACTATCTGGCAATTCGTCTAGAGCTTCCCGAGCCCAAGATGAGTATCGGGCGTCAAAAGACTGGTCAATCAAACCCAGATGCGATTCCATCGTCGTTCTTGCTACCCTTGGTCTTCTCACTCCTCTCGTCTGCTCGGAGTATCAATTGCCTCAATCCCATGTGCGCATGTTAAGAGCGTGTGTACCTTCTGCGCAACTTAGCTCTAATCATCAGTTCCAAGAAAGAAAGATTGAACAGAAAACACAGAAAGGACGAAGGCAAATCACATAGGAATCAGTTGGGCATCCCCGTAAGCCCATAGATTTCTCACGGTTTCCAGAAAAGGAAAAAAAAATAAAGAAGCAAGAAAATTCATATATATAATTCCAAGGAATACCAGGGGAATATTTTTTAAGAAAAATAGAATGAAAGCAGTTCTCACCGGGAATTAATAATAGCTACATATCTTGTGAGATTATAGTGAAGGAGAAGAACAGCAACACAACTTGTTGAGGCACGAAAATATCTCCTCAGAACCCAAAATTTGATTGAACGTCGAGAAAAAACACATACCCATCAATAGCTTTTGGTGCATGAATCGTAAAGGAAGATGCAGCGAATGAGTCAATAGTCGCGAGAGAAGGCAAAATCTAAACAGAAAAACAAAATTGACAATGTTCAATATTTTTCCTTCTTTGCTCATTTGAGGAAAAAAAATAACTTGCTTTTCTGAAATTATGTCATTAATTTTAAGTTAATTTGTTCATCTACGAATAGAAGTAAAAATAGGGAAGTGAAAACTGGAAAGCTTTTGGACTTTTGGCAAATCCTACACTTACAGAGTCCAACTTAAGCAGGCAAGAAAAGCAGAACACCTTCTCGCTCTTCTGGTAATTAGTAACTTCACTACGCGGCGGTTGGTGCAAGAGCATATATGACAACGATCAGGGACGGGATAGGTCATAGGAGGTGGGACCGACCAAGAGTTTTGATTCCAATTGGATGGCCAATGGAGGTGGTCCGCCTAGATCGATGCACACGTTGAATCTCTTTCTCCGTCATCAGCCAGTCGGATGAACGGACACGTAGCGGGAGGATGACACTTATCCATCCACGTCGTATCAGTGTTGTAAGGTTGCGAAAGGAAGCGAAAGAAAAAAAAAAAAGAAAAACAAAAGAAATGAAATCAAGGGGACCACACAGCGACAGCGACGCCAGAGCGAGTTGTCGCGTTACACGTGTTCTGCCGCTAACTCATAAAATATTTGTTGGTAAATATGAATTAATATTTTAAGGAATGAGAATGACAACGGCTACCACACGATCCAGCCACAGCCAGGTTGGGACTGGGAAGTGGAGAGAGAGATAGGAGTGCAAATGGACCGGAACCGATCCGACATCCGATTTTATTTGGTCGAATTCGGATCACCCTGTTCGAGTCTTCGGATCGGATTGCAATTATCCACTATCCGATCGAAGAATGATCCGATATAAATTATATATTTATAAATATAACTTTTATATTATATTTTTATAAATGTATTATATTATTTATTTTTTATAAAAAATATGTATATATAATGAAAATAATTAAAAAATACTTATATTTTATTTAAATTAATATATTTTATTTTTCTTTTAATAATTTATTAATTTTTAAAGAAGACAAATCAGATCGAACCAGACCTGAAGATTCAACTTACCAATAGGATTCAAATTCAAATCGAATCCTATCAAACCTAATCGAATCTTCAAATGGGATCGAATCTGACATAAATAGTGTTAGACTGGATTCAAATTCGATCCAATCCATTTGCATCCCTAGAAAGAAAAGAGAATACGAATCACGGATATAGAGCTATTTTGGAAAACAGCTGACTTATTCAAACAAAATACATTCCAACAACCTATCAACTTGGCACCGTACATCTCATATATATATGGTAGGTACTAGGTCCTACTTGGATTCCCTTTTCATCTTGAAGGTACTGAAATTGCTTCTAAAGTGAAGTCTAGTGAACAATTCCTCAGCTGATTTTAGAGATATTGGCTTTACCAAATGTAAGTTGTTGGGATTAATTTGCTAATTGGTTCAAGGAAAGATTAAAAAGTGAGTGGAATCTAAAAATCAATTCCCCTTACCGAACACCGCTTAAGCCACAATGCTGCTTTAATTACTGAACAAGAAACTAGAATCTCGTTGGAAACTTCATGGTTTGTTTTGTTAGGAGTTGGGGTTGGCCTTTCTAATAGCAAGATTAAAGTATTGGTATCGGTATTGTATTTAATAATTTGGATATGGATATAGACACGGATATGGAGGGGAACTGCATGGATATGGACAAAAAATATGAAAAATACTTAGATACGCTAAGGAAATGCATATAAATTCAATAATTATATTAATAACTTTAAGTTTAATGTTAAAATAAATATAAATAATGTATAAATACATAGGAATTGTATATTTTAATGGTCTATCTGAAGAAATATATTCCTATTGATATAATATGATGCATATTTATTATACAATTTTATTGATAATGCATCAATTTTTTTTTATTAAAATCTAAGGCATAAAAAATATGCAACCATTATATTTGAATTATTATATCAATTATTTTTATTTTACTATTTTCAATATTTAACATCAACAAAAAAAATCAACTAAAAATTAATTTGCAAATGTTCTCTGAATAATACTTTCACTTTTGTAAACAATATATATGTTTATATAAAATGTAAATGAAAATTTGAAGATGCATATCATATGAAAAATCATAAATTTTAATTACTAAAATAATTACATTATTAATATTTTTATTTTTATGAAAATTTTAAAATAAAAAAATTAATTTTATTTAAATGTAGATTAGTGGATTTGATATAATATTCAATTTATATTATATTCTCAAATATTTTGTAAAAAATATCTTATCTTTGTAATAATAAATACATTGTTATATAATGCAAATTAAAATATTAATAATAACTTATAAAATAATTATTATAATTTATCAAGTTTACATAAATAATTCTAAGTATTAAAATAATTATTCTATTAATAATATTTTTATTTGTATAAATTTATTGACATTAAAAATCATTTATATATATGTGAATTTGATAAATTATTTATTTTATTTGTTTATAAATTAATAATTTTGAATATTATTCTTGTTAATTTGTACTTAGAGTTATTAAATATGCTATTTGTTTAGATTAAATGTAAGAATTAATTTTAATAAAAGATAATTTATTTCATTCTTACGATGAAATAGAAGGTGGCTTGATGGTTAAAATCCTTGCACTCTTGGACATTATGTGTCTTGGATTTTAGAGATCAAATCACGTTAAAACCCTTTTTTCTAGTGAAGCACTTTTCTGTATGACACACGGGTTTGATACGCCTCTGTATCGACGCATATCGTAAAATACCAGTCATGACATATCTCATATCTTCCCTTACCGATACCAATACAGTACCAGTCAGAGTGTATTATGTCGATATCTTTTATCCATTATGAAGGGATGATGTGGCTCATTTCTTCATGTGGCCCAATCGAATCACTTTTATTACTGAATAAGTTATTAAGTAGGTTTTGAGAGTGTTGGATTAATTACTATACCTATAAATATTTTATTTTATCTAATAATGGAGAATCTAGTATCAACTATTAAGGTGAGTCCAAGGTATACGTGCTCTCAGAATGTGTACACGATTTTTGCCTTCAGAAAAATCTGGTTTTGGACGGATTTATCAGGTTGGGATCCACTGCAAATATATGCATATATAGCAGGCTATGTAACCAATTCTATGTAAACATATTAGCGTTTGTTTTGCAAATGTAACCAATTCTATGTAAACATATTAGCGTTTGTTTGGCATCGATGCCATTGCTCCAGAAAACGATGACATATTAGTGTCATGTTAGTAAAAATAGTGTTCTAGGAAACGTCCTACTTATCAGCAATGTTTTCAAACAGAAAAAAAAAACACCATTTTTTTCCAAAAACGGTGCTTCCAACTCACACATCAGCAAACGGTGTTGTATCTGCAACATCGATGCCAAACATATATTTAGTATTCGATACACATGGGACCTAGATGGTCAAGCATCTAGCAAGCAAGCCCAAGTGGTTAGGAACAACTAGTATTTTTAAATTGTGATTGACCCAAATAATTGAACCATCCAACTCATCACCAACAATTAGACCTACTTATGGGCCGGGTAGTTCGATGGCCCGACTAGATATTTTTTGGGCTTGGACAAAATTTCAGGCCTGTGGGCTTGGGCTTCAAATACCGGGCCCAACTATTTTTCGGGCCGGCCTCGGGCTTTCTCAAATAAGCCTGACCCAAGCCCAAGCTCAGCTTGATACTATTACATATATTAGAAATATACATTATTTTATATATAATAAATATATAAATATGTATTTATTTATAAAGTTATTATCAAATATTAATTTACTATTCAGGAAATATGAATTAATTTATTATCAAATTAATGTAATATTACTTTATTAAATTACACCAAAAATAGGACATTTTATGTGCAGATCAAGCTTTGGGCCTTATATAAGGGTTGGGCTTAGGCTCAAGATCTGGGCCCGAAGGTCGGCCTGGGCTCAGGCCTAGACATTTTCTATTGATAAAGAGGCAAAGCCCGGCCCAACATGTGAACAAGTCTGCCTGCAGTGCAAAGATCAATTTCCTTTTGCTCTAAGGCCCAAACCTATTTATAGCAATGTTTTCAACTTGTTAACCCAATTGACCGAATTGTTCGAACCATTACTTGGCCAGGATTTTGGGTTCGGTTCAATCAAGACCTGTCAAATAGTAAAGAACCATTGACTTAGTCAAGAACCATTAGACCTGGCCGGTTTGATTGTTGACCCATTCGACCTAGTGGCTAAGTCACGGGTTGCACACTGAATACATGCAAACTTTCGGAGGCTATAACTTTGTACTCCGATGTTTGACTAGGATGTTTTTTTTATTTTTTATTTTGGATAACTTTTTGAGATCTATACGTCCCAAAGGCCATAGGCACCTTGCCCCACTATTTTCACGAAAAAACCCCTTTTTTGGCCTCAAATTGTAATTTTTAATATTTTTTATAAATAAAAAAATTAAAAACTGAATTAAAAAACATATATTAAATATACAATAATACATACAACATATCTAAAATATATTTATGTATATAACCATTCTACCTGGCTAATCAAACCGATGACCCACAACCTAGAGGCAAAAATGGTTGGCCTCCAAGTCAATTTTTAAAACATTGCTATACAGTTACAAAGGCGAATCAATAGCCTGCTCTATGGCTTCTTATTCATGTCATATTAATAATTAATAATATATGTTTATATTTTGAATGTAATCTAAATTTGCGTAAATTGCTATACCTTCCCTAGGGTTTTTGGTCAAAATTGACACATATGGTTGTATATAATAGTTTATTTTATAAAAATTATAACATATTATACATATATTTATGTATATATATTATGTTATACATTATATAATATAAATATTATAAATATTAAATATAGTGTATTGAATGGCGTAGGCCCAAACAAAAGTAAAAGAAATATACAACAAAGCTAAAGCTAAGAATGTCTTGACAAGTGAAATTTG